ACATACAGGAATCTGTGGGACACAATGAAAGCAGTTCTACAGGGAAAATTCACAACATTGAATGCCCACACTAGGAAAACAGAACAGGCTCAAATAAACAACCTAATGATGAAACTTGGACTCCTAGAAAAACAAGAGCAAGAAAAACCCAAAACTCGAACAAGAGAGGAAATTATAAAGATCCGAGCAGAAATCAATGCAATGGAAACTAAGAAAATGATACAAAAAATAAATGAAACAAAGAGTTGGTTTTTTTGAAAGAATAAATAAAACTGACAAACCCTTAGCTAATCTTATCAAAAAAAGGAAAGAAAAGGCTCACATCCATGCAATCAGGAATGAAAAAGGCGAAGTCACACAGATCCAAAAGAAATCCAGAAGATCATTAATACCTACTTTGAGAACCTGTACTCCAATAAAATAGAAAACACAGAAGAAATGGACATATTTTTAGATGCATACAAATTACCAAAACTGAACAAAGAAGATAAAAACATTTTAAACACCCCAATTACAGTCAGTGAAATTGAAAATGTAATTAAAAATTTACCAACAAAGAAAAGTCCAGGCCCTCATGGATTCACTGCTGAATTTTACAAGATATTTAGAGAAGAACTACTGCCATTACTCTTCAAACTTTTCAATGAAATTGAAAGGGAAGCTAGTATCACTTTGATTCCCAAACCAGGGAAAGATGCAACTAAAAAAAGAGAACTACAGACCAATCTCCTTAATGAATATAGATGCAAAATTCTTCGTAACAGAAAACAGAATACAGAGGATTATCAAGAAGATCATGCATCCTGACCAAGTCGGATTTATTCCAGAGATGCAAGGGTGGTTCAACATACAAAAGTCAATAAACATAACACATTCTATTAACAAAATCAAGTTCAAAAACCATATGATCCTCTCAATAGATGCCGAAAAAGCATTTGATAAAATTCAACACCCATTCATGATAAAAACACTGCAAAAAATTGGAATAGATGGTCTATACCTCAATTTAATAAAGGTTATCTATGAAAAACCAATAGCCAACATCATACGGCCAAAAACTGAAAACCTTCATGTTAAAATCAGGAACAAGACAAGGACGCCCACTATCACCACTCCTCTTCAATATACTTCTGGAAACATTAGCCATAGCAATTAGACAAGAGAAAGAAATTAAAGCAATAACTCTACATTGAAGACCCAAAGAACTCCACCAAAAGACTTGAAGACTTAATTGACAGATTCAGTAGAGTATCTGGATACAAGGTGAACACCCAAAAATCAATAGCCTTCTTATACACAAATAACAGACTCACTGAGAGAGAAATAAGGGAAAAAATTCCTTTTACAATAGCACCCAAAAAAATGAAGTATCTAGGAATCAATCTAACAAAAGAAGCAAAAGATCTCTACACTGAAAACTACAGCACTGTGAAAAAAGAAATTGAAGAGGATATAAAAAAATGGAAAGATATCTCCTGCTCCTGGGTAGGAAGAATCAACACAGTGAAAATGGCCATACTACCAAAACTGCTATATACATTCAATGCAATGCCAATTGAATTTGCAACACTATATTTCACAGAACTAGAAAAAAGAATCCAAAAATTCATTTGGAACCATAAGAGACCTAGAATAGCAAAAGCCATCCTAGGCAACAGACACATGGCAGCGGGTATAACAATTCCCAATTTGAAACTATACTACAAAGCCACTGTGATAAAAACAGCATGTTACTGGCAAAGAAACAGACCTGAGGATCAGTGGAACAGACTGGAAGACACAAAAACAAACCCAGATATACTCAGCTACCTCATCTTTGACAAAGGAGTTGACCATCCTCAATGGAGAAAAGATAGCCTCTTTAATATATGATGTGGAAAAACTGGATTTCAACCTGCCAAAGATTAAAACTAGGCCCTTATCTTTCACCATGCACTAAATTAAAATCCAAGTGGATTAAAGATCTAAAGAGTAAAACAGAAACACTAAAGTTGCTGGAAGATAAGTTAGGCACAACTCTTGAAGACACTGGCATAGTAAAAGACTTTATGAACAAATCCTCAGTAGCACTGGAACTAGCAGATAGAATCAACAACTGGGATCTCATTTTATTAAAAAGCTTCTGCACTGAAAAAGAAATCATCAACAGAACTAAAAGACAGCCTACAAATTTTTACCAGCTGATCCTCAGACAAAGGACTATGATCTAGAATATATAAAGAACTCAAAATATTCAGCCCTCCCAAATATAAGGACCCGTTTCAAAAATGGGCATCCAAAATGAATAGACATTTATCAAAGAAGGAAAAGCAGCAAGTAAATATATGAAAAAATGTTCCACATCACTGATCATTCGAGAGATGCAGATGAAAATAACACTGAGATTCCACCTCACCCTGGGACTTCATGTTCCTTTAGCTACAGATGGGAAGGTTGTAGGCTTAATATTTTCTTTTCTTTCTTTTGTTTTTTTCATTTTGGTACCAGGAATTAAACTCAGGCATGGTGCAAGGCAGGCATGGTGCCACTGAGCTAAATTCCCAGCCCGGCTTAATATTTTCTAACCATCTTTTCACAGATGGATTTTCATCAAAAAAGAATCAATTAGTTTTTAAGAAACCTTGCAGGCAAGACTAATTATCCAATGAATGTTGAAGGATTTAATGTGATTTTGGGGCTCATACTTCACCAATTTAGGGGAAAGGATGAGGCACATCCCACTGTGGTAGTAAGAAGTTTGGTTACTGAAAAGTCAGAACATAGGAGCACAGAACATGACATGAAGAAAAGGGAAGTTAGGTATAAAAATAAAGCAAGTAAGTTTTTAACAAAGAATTAGTCTTGCAATTCCTTAAGTTTTCATCTTTAAAAAAAAACTACATTCACTGAAAGGAAAGGCTTAAAAATTATTTTGGCAAGGCCAGGCGTGGTGGTGCATGCCTGTAATCCCAGCACTCGGAAGGCTGAGACAGGAGGATCACTGTGAGTTCGAGACCAGCCTGGGCTACATGGTGAGTTCCAGGTCAGTCTCAACTACATAGTGAGACCCTGTCTCAAAAAACAAAAACAAAAAATATTATTTTGGCAATATAATAGAGAAGGAAGTTTTCTTCCCCAATATCTTTACCCTTCTCACTTCCCAAGTAAAGAATTTTGTTTGCAACCAGGAATGATGGAGCTTAATTAACATAACTTAATTTTTCTTACTGCCTCAGATCAAGTATTCAAAAGAGATTGGCAGGGCGGTGTGGTGGTGCATGCCTGTAATCCCAGCACTCGGAAGGCTGAGACAGGAGGATCACTGTGAGTTCGAGACCAGCCTGGGCTACATGGTGAGTTCCAGGTCAGTCTCAACTACATAGTGAGACCCTGTCTCAAAAAACAAAAACAAAAAATATTATTTTGGCAATATAATAGAGAAGGAAGTTTTCTTCCCCAATATCTTTACCCTTCTCACTTCCCAAGTAAAGAATTTTGTTTGCAACCAGGAATGATGGAGCTTAATTAACATAACTTAATTTTTCTTACTGCCTCAGATCAAGTATTCAAAAGAGCTATCCAAAATGATTCAACTTTCATGGAATAAACACATTGAACACTGCACCTAGAAGGCCTCTAAGGCCTCTCTTCTTCTGTGGTAGAAGTTTCTTTTCAGCTTGTTTTTTTTTTTTTTTAGTTGTTGGTTTCATGGTAATTTCAAATTTACTTTCCACTCTCCAAAGGCTTCTTCTGTTTCTTATCACCAAGAGCTCTCTTTCCTTTCTTCTCTCCAACGTGCCTCTTGCACATGACCCCATTCTCAGCCACTTTGGCCTCTGCTGCTGCTGCTGCTCTCTTACCCACCCAGAGTTTGTGACAGCTAACGTGGGGAAAAATGATGCTGGCCATGGTCTTACTAAATGGCTGGAGCTCCAACATCATTCTCAGGGGTTTCAGTGGGGTCTTTTTCATTACTCTGCCAGGAGCAAGTTCAGAACGTTCTAATTGCTTATGTTAAGCACAGCCATTCCAGGGATTCTTCTGAAGCGTTCAATGATGCCATTTTTCTCATTATCCATGATGCAGGGTCCCCTTGGCTGCATATGATGGCTTCTCGCTTTCCCCTTGGTAGCAGCATTCACTGGAAAGTATGGATCATTTGGCTAACACTCTAGCCCTGAAGTTTTTAAGAAACTATACATCCTCCTTAGTCTTGAACCTTTCAATTTTACCTTTAACAACCAGGAAGTCTGGGAAGTTACTCAATGTGACAACCTTTAAACATGACTAGTTTTGAGGGGGAAGTGGCCGGGACAGAGCAGATTGCACATGGCTTTTTGATTGACAGGGATGAGCGGTTCCAGCTTTTGGTTGGTGCAAATGTGGGGCCTCCTCTTCTCTAAAGTGTCTCTGCTGGACATATGAGTTCCATCACCACAAACTCTGGGAATTCACACCACAGCTCTGCCAGCATCCAGGACTCAGCATAGGGTTTAACGAGCTGATCGCTTGCAGAGAACATAGGGCCACTGGTCATTTCTGTGTCAACCAGGTGGGAACCAAGTTCACCATATTGGTTGAGTGAGAGTCTTGCACACAGCAAAGTCACGTTTTTCCAGGTGGCTTCTCCTTCTTGGAGCACTCCCATGTCAGTAGACAATGCCATGGCGGGGGTAGGGGAAAGCCTTCGTCCTCTTAACCTAGCAACTCCTACAGGAAGAGTTAAAAAAATAATTCTTAAGCAGAGAAGCTAGGTTCTGTGTTAAGCTTCCCCTCTTGCTAGATTATTTGGACACTTATTTTCATATGCTCCCAAAGTGTACTGAATCAGTTGATAGCACCGAGCTGAAGGAGACATGCGTCTCAATGCTCCTGAATGCAAAAGAAACACCCTGAAGAAAAAATGCCTTCACTAGCATCATCCGTACATGAACCTCACTGGACAGACAGACATGATAAAAAGACTTAAACAAGGATTTCTATGTCAAATTACAATAGGGATAAACAAACAAGAGACCCACCTTTATATATAATGGTTCTCGAAGATGATCGACAAGAATGCAAGCTTTCTCCTCCCACACAGGATTGAGGTTCTTGTGTATTATTTTACTTCTAAAAACTTCTTTTCTTCCAATTTTAAACTTCACGTATGGATCACTTGTCCCTGTTAAGGAGAGACAGATTGATCCATGTCAATCACACCTTTCTATGGATGCAAGATGACTGCTCATTAAAACATCAGGAAGAATCTAAAGGAAGAAAATTTAATTAGGGTTTATCATGCAGGAAAATAAAGGTTGTGTTTTGCCTAAATCTTTCATTATATATTGAAGCAACAGTAAATTATCATTTTTATTGTTGTTATGGTATCTTCTGATCTTAATTGTGTAACTTTGTCTTGGCATTAAAAAAACTTGACCGTATGATGAATATGACTTTAATTCCAATTATAAATAATAGAGCTTAATCTGATGTTTCTATTGGTGTCATCTTGTCAATTATAAAAATGTTGATCAGTTATATTGGCGGATTTATATATGCTGCTAAAATTTTACATTAGTTTAATGGGCTTAGAGAAATTTGAGTCCCAAACTGAGAATCTTTTATTTATTTTTTGGGGGGTGCCATATTCTCTCTTGCTTAGAAGCTTTAATTTTAGAATGTTCGGAAGGGGTAGAGGTCACAAGGGAAGGTAGTATTCCTGGGATAGAGAACACTGTTTATTAAATGACTGGATACTTAGTGTTATGCTTTAACCCCTCCCAAGTTTTCTCTATGAAAAAGAAAATCACAAATGTGAAGTTGAATATGAATACATAGCAAAAAAGAAATGGAGTTAAGATTCCAACCAAAGCTGTTTTGCCTTTTTGCATGTGTGGAAAGTTTTGCATATACTTTTCCATTATATCTTCAAGAGAAAAAGCCTTTTCACTTATATATGTAATATAGTATAATATAATATATATCACATATGTAATATAACAATATTAATATATCAACTAATATACATATGATATACTAATATGCATTTGGAGACTAATATCTAATATATTATCTATTAAATAATATATATGTATTCACATTTGAGCATGAAGTTGAGAGATAAGACCAACTTTGACTTAAGTTGAATTGATTGTTATTAAATAAAGTTCCCTACAGAAGGTGAATCATTCACTTCCCATGTAAATTATTCTAGTGTGTAATAATCTTTGTCATCGGGAAATAATTCTTTGTATCAGGTTCAACTCCTTTATGATAAAGCTAGACTTACTTCTTAATGTTTTGTTCAAACTGACCCTACAATTGATAAGTCTGATTTATAAGACTTAAAGAAAAATATGATCAGGGCTCTGGACAATGTAGCAGCTTATAGGTGTTAGCCATTACAGTTATGAAACAGTTATCCTTGAACTTACATTATATATCCCTTCTCAATACTCTTCACCTCAATGACATATAAACATTTAGGTTAAATATAAAGATTGACTTCAACAACTCATTTGTTATATTTAATCATTTGAGGCTCTCTTAAAACTTTCCACATTCCTCTCCCTCAAAGTATAATATCTTGGTTTTATTTGCATAGATCAAAGTATAATGAAATAATGATTCCACTTTCCTATTTGTGAAACTCCATTTTATTTGGACAGCTTGAGCTTATAAAAGTAGAAAATAAAAATATTTAAAAAATGTAAATGTTGGCTGCTTCATGTTAACCTGTTGAAATTCTTTCCTTAGGGGAAGCAATACAAGCAAAATGCTTAATGGTTAAAAAGGGTATTTTTATCTTAGTGGTTTCAACTATGGACTGAGTACTTGGGGAGGTAGGGGTGTTGGCAGCACCTATTTTGAAAAATATTAAAATCAATGAAACTATTTAAATTTTCTCAATCATATCCCAGATCAAATTATTTTCACTGGTTTTTTAAAAAAATCACCTATGTAATTATTGTTACCTGTAAAGACACAGTAATCTCTGTAAGATCAGAATTCAGCTGGATTACTGTTTCATAAATCTCCATCAATTGCTATAGAATCAGGCATACTGTAGGTCCTCAATAACCATTTGGTAAACAAACTTAAAAATAATTTAATGATGTGTGGGTCAGGAAGGTATTCTATAAACATTGCTTGCTGAAAAATGTAAAATTGGGAACCTCTCTTTTTAAATTTGGGGAGATAGGAAAGCTATTCAAAAGTTTCCACAGCTGTGTTTCCATAGCCCAATATCTCGAATTTTCCAGCCTGACTGCATGGTGTAACCTTTCTGAAGTGAGTTCCAAAGGTTTACAACGGCTCCTGTGCACCGGGCAATAAAAGCCTTCCCCACAAAGGTACATCTGCAGGTGATAGCTGAGGACAAGGAAAGGTCTCTGGGGGTCTAAAGCAGAAGGCTCAAAGCCACGTGTTAAATCTCTTGCCCTATTTTTGCAGGATCACTGTTTCCTCTGCTTAGACCAAATAAGATTTGGTTACCAGGTTTTCAGTATAAGAAAAATTGGAATATTACGGGTGAATGGAAGCCTGTGAGAATGTAGTAAAGGACAATATGAGATGAAGGAAGAATAATTTTAAATTTTGAAGAGAACTTTCAATATTTTTTAAAAAAATCTTTTGCTTTTTGGAGCACTTTGGAATGGGGCCAAAAGGTCCCAAGAGAAACTATGGGCTTACAGGTGGGACAGATGGTACCAAAAACAAGATGGGTCTGAGAACGAAAACAGGATGGTATGCATGTAAGAACAAACAGCTGAATGGACTAGACTGGAAAACTCAAAAATAGACTAATAAAACATTCTATTTGACAAGGCCATAACAAAAAATAGGGAAAAGAATCAATACAAAACCAGCTCATCGTATAGAAAAAGATGAAGCCAGTTTCCCTACCTTGTGCCGTATGCAAAGATGGAGTCCTAACAATTCTGATAGCTAAATGTGAATTTTAATTTCACAAAGCTAATAGAACATATGGGAATGAAAGCAAAGGAAAAGATTTCTTAAATAACCAAAAAATTTAAAGTGTGTGTGTGAGAGAGAAGGGAGAGGGAGGTAAGGGGGGAGGGAGAAAGAGGGAGAGAGAGATTATATACAGCTGAGAATTTCTGTTCAACTGAGGAAACTGTGATAAACTTAACCAGCAAATGCTACCCTACAAATATTTGCTGTACCTGAAAGATAAAGGAAATTAATATCTTGAATAAAAAGGAATTTTTGAAAATCAGTTAAAAAAACAACAAGAAATTCATAGGGAAATGCTATATTTTATGTGTAGTCAGCCTACAAGAAGGAAGCCAAAATAACAAACAGGTAAATGAAATAATGACAAAAACACTAGTAATCAGAGAAAGACAGATAATTAAAGCAGTGAGAGGTGATTTTTCAGGAGCAGAACAACATTTAGAAAATTGGATGTTGTAGGTCTAAATATCACTTTGTGGGCCTGCTCTCATCTTGGAGTAGCATTCCTGCCTCCCCAGAATTGAACTTGGCTCCTGGCCTCTTGGTCCTGCAGGTTGCTGGGATTCAGGTTCACCCCCAGTGCAAGGCTGAGTGTCCTGCTTCTGGATACTCTGTAATGTAACACCCCTGAAGTCCAGGGTGTGTGACAATTGTTTTATTATATCCAGGCATTCTGCAGTGCAGGAATTAAGACAGGACATTGTAGGGCTGTCCCATCTCTGCTCTAAGAGATCTGGGCTTCCGCTAGAAGGAGTCAAATGTCTTGAAGTTAGAATCTTCTGTCTGCGGTTGCTATGGTGTGGATATTGTTTGTGCTTTCTAAAACTCACGTCAGAGTTTAATCCCATTGTGCCATATTAGAGGATGGAAACGTGATCTGACTACGGTATTTAGAAGCAGGGGAGCTTTGGGAAGCAGTTTAAATTAGGTTAGGTCATGGGGCTGTGACCACCATGATTCTATCCTGGGGGCTTTATAAGAGAGAGGTAAAACTTAGGACACACACATGAGATGCTGCCCCCTGCCACGCAATGCTCTGCCACACCTAGGATTTTGCCAACAAGAAGGTCACCACCAGATGCAGGTCCTTAAGTTTGGATCTCTGCAGCCATGAACCAAAATAACCTGCTTTTAAAAAATGCATGTAACTTTCCCATTCTGTGTGTTGTTACCGCTAAAGAAAGCAGACAAGACCCTTGTAGGCCGAGGTCTATCTGCTAAGCACACACCTGCCCACATCCTCTCCGTGTGATGATTTTCTTACGTGGGACCGTTTGTCTTTCTTACAGTATGACAGCAAGATTCCAAGACAAAGCAATGAAAGTGTACGGCATTTGAACAATTTAGACCTTCTGACAACATAGTCTAAACAAGGGCACACAGATATACTCTATTTGTCAGGGAAATTAGAAAGGCTCATTGAGGGGTCAAGGGAGGGGACACAATACTACCACCTGGGGCGAGGAATGCTAAAGTCACATTTTAAGAAGAGCATGTGGGATGACATATATTCCTGCAACCATTTGGAACATGAATACTACGGCCCTTCAGTGTGGAAGTGAACAATGTGAGGGAGACGTAATGTAGGAAGAGGATGGGGAAGGAGAGACACTGACTTTTGGAGGAGGAAGAAGGCCTTCATGTTCTCAGCTTGAGTAGACACAACAGTCTGGCCCCTCCTGATAAAAGTCCCTGGCCTCTCTTTTCCCAGAGTCTTGCTTTAAAAATCTTGTAATTTCTCCTCTGCCCCTTGGAGATGTAAATTCTCTCCCTCTCTCTGGCCAGGTTTACACACCCATGAATGTCTTAGGGACCAGAAGCTATTTCTGTGAAAAGCGACCAAACATACTAGGAGTTGATTGACCAAGACTAATTTTCTGGCCCGCTAGCAATTCTATGCACTGATTTCCTTGTCTGTTCCTTTTTCTAGAGTACTTTTCTGGCTACAGCTGAGATCTCTGAGGGACACAATGGAGACTATCTAGTGTTAGTGAGTGTGCGCAGATGGGAAAACTTGTGCTCTACTGATGGGAGGAAAGAATGTTTTAGCAATTTTCTGAAAGCAATCTGGCCATTTCGCATGGAATTATGTATATGCCTTACGATCCAGACATTCCGTTTCTGGGCCTTTATTCGACAGGTCCAAAGGGACTCCTTATGAAGGTATGTACTGAAACATTACTTGTAGTTACAGCTACCTGGACA